GTCTCCTGCTGTGATCTCCTCCCCCGATGCCTGTCACAGAGATCCGGCAGACACGGAGGAGAAGGAGGGGGTGGGTACAGCCAGACAGCACAACTTTAAAGGTAATTCTGAAACGAAAAAAAATGTTAACATTCATTATCTGTATATGCATTTACGTCTTTAGCTGTACATGGGCAGTACATCTTAGGACTTGCACACATGTACTGTCCATGTACTGTCTGGGAGCAGGACTGGGGAGGAACAACCTGGATTGTGTTTGACTTCATCTATCTGCATTTTATGCGGCTCCCAGTTTCTCAATTGTTACTGTGAGTCTGTTTACTTTAAAGACTGCCATTGTTTTGTTTGCTTATCACATCTCACATGGGGGTAAGCTGCAACCTCATTTAAACCCTCCAATCAGGTTGCGCCCATGTACATTTGGTAGGCACTGTACAGAAAGAAGGAGATATAAGGTATTGTTACCAAGCCATGTGCTCACTTTTACCTGGGACACAAAGGCATTTCAGTATGAACAGGTGTGAAGCTGAGAGGTAAAATGCCACCATACTTGTGCTGTACAGTGCTTTGTAAATACTATTTTGTGTATTTTTTGTAAATATGTAACCCTTCCAATAAATGTATATTGCTGATTGAATTACTTCTTTTGTCTAAAAATCCTTAAAGGAGAACTATGGGGTTAAAGAAGAACTATGGGGTTAAGTCTTTTCCCCATAGCTCTCCTTAGGGTAACGGGAGGACACAAACTAGCGTTCTCCCATCACCCTAAGCTCAATATACTGCGAGCTACAGCTCGCGGTATACTGAGACGCCGCAGCTGAAGCGGATCCCGACAATTATGTCTGGATCCGCCCAGCTGAGTGAGTGACAGCTGGCTATGCCTATCTATCTGCCTATCACGGCAGAGAGCTGTGACAGGATCGAGAGGTGAGCGAACGCCGGTATGTGTCCGCTCACCTCCCGATCTACTGAGCCGACCTGTGACAGTCTCATTTTCACAGGTCGGCTAGAACTATGAGGTGAGTGAAAAGCATAGTTCTCCTTTAATTAATGGGGGGAATGTTCTTATACTGATTGGAATATATTTACATATCCACCTTACCTGGTCAACAGTGAGTATACCTAGAAAGCAAACCTACACGTATACATTTATACATTTATACATTTTTAAGCTATTGAGATCTTTATATATATATATATATATACACACACACACACATATACACACATACATATACACACACAATTTTTGTAAACATTTAGCACATGGCAGCACATCACTGGCTGCCTGCTGGCTCTGTCTGAGTAGAGATAAAAATACATATGTGAAAAAGAGTCTGCCTGCCGGCTGAGAAAGAGTGCTAAATATTAATATGCAATATTTTACTTGTACCTTACTTTAAAAAAAAAGTTTTAGAGATGGGCATTAAGATCTAGATTACTGGCAACAATGTAAAGCTAAGGATTATGTGGCTGGGTGTACATTGGCTATTCATGGATAAAATATAGAAGCACTGGAAAGGAAGATAATATCATCTGTGTACATTCTACAGCTTCATTTCCAGTTATGACAGGCATATACGGTTGGGTATTTTCAAGATTTTAGGTCACAAAAAAAAAAAATATACATAACTGGTGCCACTGGTATTCTAAAGATGAAAATATCACATATGTTTAGTTTGGTACAAAAAAATACAGATGTAAGTATATATGTGTAGGTGCTGATGTTGGTTAAAGTGACATTAAAGTCTAAAAAAAATGTCCCTCCCCCCATGTTAATGTCAGCACTTACCTTAAATGATGTCTCTTAATCCGATCATCTTCTTCTTTCCTGATGTTTTCATCTGTCCATCCAGTGGTGCGGCGGCTCTCCGATCCAGCGCTGACTCCTCTGTCCCTGCAGGCACTTCCGATCCAGCGGTGTCTGCATGCGGGTGCACGTGTCCATAGACTTACCTTGCGTTTCTGCTCGTCTCCCGGCCGAGAATCCGAACTGCGCATGCGCCCGCTCCAAGATGCTTTGCGGCCGCTCGATGAGTTTCAGATTCTCCGGTGGGAGCGCACAGCAATAACACGGTAAGTGTAAACCGCTGTTAAAGTGTTTTGTTTTTTTAAAAACTTTTTGCCTATATCTACTGCTTGCTAGCAGTAGATATAGGCAAAAAAAAAAAAAAACAAGGGTTTAGAACCCCTTTAAGCATAAAGAGACTCAACATTTTATTTTAATTTTAAAAGCTGAAATTCCTCGGTAAGTATCAAGTGCAGTAACTCACAGCAATCAAAATACAATTTACCATTGCAAAATAATTCTTAATTCCTAGCCCTTGCATTGTTTAACTGTATATTTATTCTCAATGCACGGTTTTAAATGTATAAAACAGAAGTGATACTTACTTATAACATTCAACCTGTCGACAAGAAGAGACTGTGATGAAAGAGTCTGTTCTAGGACTGTATCTCAGAGGACCAGGTAAAAGAAACCCTGGTAAGTATCGTCCAAACGCATAGCTTTCCTGTTCAAAGAACATCAGCATTCCATCCATTGACTGAATACAAATCAGATCTCGGCCTGTAGAGAGGAAAGAAAAAGAAATACCAAAGGCTGAGCAATCTCCCTTAACTTTGTTTTCAGGTTCTACGTTTGTAAATTATTTGCAGAAAGTTCATATATATTTATGTAGCACCCTGTAGGCAGGAATGCTATTAAATTTAGTATTTTCAGATTGTAATCAGTCTGATGCTGATTTGTAGTCTATGTTTATTTGATTTCCTGATCAATCTGTCATCGTTTGCATCTGTCTTCTTCTGGGTGTAGTGCATGCTGGGGGAGGAGATCAATTCTTGGGGTGGACCAGGTGAGCTCTCTCTTCCTCCCCCGGGCCCTGACTGTGGGGAGGCTGCTATGGACTGTCTGAGATGGCTAGGCCTGAAGCCTGGGGACTAGCTATGTGCTTACACTGGGGCCTGAGTCTGGAGGCCCAGTGGTTACTACTGATGACAAGGATGAACATGACTGGTGACTTCTACCTCTAGTGCTGCTGTGCCAGATGTTTTTCATGCTGTGGATGGAGACAGCTACCACACTCTGCAATTTAAAAGAGTCTACATCTATCTTGATAATCCTAACCCTCAAGCTCTCTCTCTGAAGTTATACAATAAAGTACTCAGCATCATATCTACAGACATCGCTTTAATCGACCACCATCTAGGACAGTAAGTGCTTATGGGTAAAGTGGGTGAAAATATACATAGACAAAAAGATTACCGAGTTGTGGTAACCCATAGCAACCAACACTAGGATTAAGGTGTGCTAGTGTGCTCTGTATTTATTACGGAGGTTCATCCGAGGGTAACACAGGGAGACCCATTGCTGTATTACTGTATGCTGCTCCGTATGCGGTGCACTACATATACTAAGAGTCTTATTTATACTTTTTATACCCCTAAGCCAGTTGTCTTGTGCACCGCCTATACCAATCAACTAGCTAGCCTTTTAATTACAAGGTTTCCCGGACAATCATAATCGAGCCGGCTTCCCGGGCAATCAGAAAGCCAGGCAGCAAGTCATTACATGCCGCCCGGCTTCCTGATTGCCCCGGAAGCCGGCTCCATGCCAGTAGAAGCACTAGTATTGGTACAAGGTATATTTGCGAGTACTGAAAGTAAAATATCGATACTCGTAAACCGGAAAAACGGTATTGGTGCATCCCTACTGTATATTCATGCTTTACTTTTTCCAGCATGCCCAAGAAATGCTAACCCAATTCCTAGAAGCACCATGTTGGGGAATTCTTATCATGGCTTCAGTCAAGCTATAGGCCAGGTGGTTACGGTCTTGTTCCCTTCAGCTCATCGAACCTTGTATAGATTGATTGAATGGATGTATAAAAGTATAGTTTGTTATGTAGAAACAAGTAAGAGAGACTCTGGGTCATCTTGCTCAAAGTGAGCTCATTATGGATAAATAGTGAGACTGTCTTGTGGAAATTCTTGTCTAGAATGTCTAGACGGTTACACAAATGGGTTGGGCTGGCATTAATGAGGGGTATGTCAAATGTTAATCAGCTTCTTTGCATAAATGGTTAAGATGGTATACATATATCCTAAAATGTAAACAACTTAGCACTTCCCTTTTTCTTGTTAAACAGCCACATAGATAGGTTTCAAAAACGTGGATTATACTATCACTGCATTAAACAGTGGTCTGGATTATTCTACAAAAATAGCTAGAAAATATCTGTAACCATTTGTCCTCTTTTTTGTTCTATATAATGAAAGAGTGCAGAGCCATATCTATGCATTTGCAGAGCTAGTAGTGGTTGGTCCCATTCCAGTGAACTTGTTTTGTAATTTTGAAATTCAGCCAGTCTAGCTGAATGTGACTTACTACTACCAGCTATATAATGACATGGATACATGAAAACCTTCACAGACATATTGCCTTTGCATAGATAAAAAAAAGACTGACATTTACTTAATCATTACCTACACATCTATGACAAAAAGGCAGCCATTACTAGGGACATTTTTAGCATGAATGGAATATAACAAAACATTTGCTTTGCATTGGAAAAGCACCCAAAAATAAGCTTAACCATCAACAACACTACTGTGGTCTTCAACTTTCTTCAGATGAAAACCATTTCAAGTGGAATTCCTGTGGCAGAACTGGCATTGCGAAGTTCCAGATTCATGGTCCAGAATGGTCACTTGGTAACAGTGACAACACAAGCTGGAAACCACTGAATAACGTTTTCCATTAACGTGCCACAAATTAACAGTGCTAAATCTTATATTTGTTGAAAAAGAACAGCCTATGAATACACCGTCCTATGGTGAAATAGGAAACTAAGCAACGAAGGAGTAGATACCTGGAAATCAACCAAAGAGAAGCTTATCGGGAACAGTGGCCCTGTGCCAAAAACCACAGCCTAGCGCAGCAATGGCTTCTTTGCTTTTCAGTAAGCACAATGAGAAGGCATAAAATATAGTTTTCTTGTGGCACCGACCACCTGAGCCTTTGGCAACATGACTCACTGACCATAAAAGCCAGACCATGAGTAATAGATGTAAACTTTATTTAGGTCTGGCACTATGACAGGAGTACTCCACCCAAACCACTTCATTAAGCTAAAGAAATATTTAAATATATTGTTCAGACATCAGATAGAATAATCAAGTTAACTAGAACATGTAACTTACTGAAAACCATAAGGCTGGCAGAAAGAATGGCAACGTGCCTAAAAATGGAACTGCAGATTAGTTTGAAGCTTTGAGTAAAGACTCTCTGTGTGATTTTATTTTCACTGACAGGCAACTATTTCAGCCAGGCTGTATCAATTATGCAAGTACATATATCAAACGAAGGTAGCAATGCAGAACACTGTTCAGGTCTTTGCCACTGGGGGTTTCAAATCTTTCGTATAGGAAAATATATCAACTAAATACAAATCCAGAATGACTATTAATTCAGGAGACTCACTAAAAATTTCATTGAGGTCTATATACCATCTCAGATTTTGTAGTCATGTATAGATTACAATAACCCAGTATAACAAGCAGTAGAACACCATACAAAGCAGCAAAATACATTAGTGACGATAAGTATTTTATTGGTCTCAGTTAACAAGAAGGTGCAGTGTATTTCTAGTGGCCACCAATTGATGCGATTCATAAAGCCTTTGCAAAATTTCTCTGGCGGTATGCTCGTAGGAGGGGCAACGGAGCCCGGGAAGCATGGCGGGGGTGTCCGGCAGAAGCGATCTGGCGACAGGTAAGTCGCCAGGATCGCTTCTGTTGTAAAGCCGACAGTCGGCTCTACAAGTTTAAACAGAGTCCCGGCGGCAAAAGTCACCGGGAGTCTGTTTAAACAGCCCCGATGCTGGCGACATACACTGTACGTCGTCAGTCATGAAGGGGTTAAAAAGTCTTGCACCTAATTCATGAAAGTCTTGCAACAGTTTTGATCAGAGTTCTGACATGTGTGACAAATTCAGGTACTTATTATTTGGCCCACTTTCACAATTTATCGGTATGGCTGCAACTAATTAAAAAAGAACTACCGCCCATTCGTATGTAATAAAACCAGAGGTAATTAGGACCAACTCTAAGTTGGCATACAAAGACATTCCATGGCTGGCAGCAGAATGTAAACAAAGGATCCAGAAATGTTAATTGACATCAATGGCCAGTGGCCATATTTGGGAAATGACGTCAGTCAGCATCCCCACTCTTTTGTTTACATTCAGCTGTTGGCTAGAGATTTCCTGTCTATCTGAATGGGGTCGGGTGCATCATTGGTTGCTATGGCACTATTGATTGCAGATGCAGGCTAACAATGATGCAGATGTGGGCAGCAGTAAGTGGATGTAAGTAAGGGAATAGCTGCTAGACATCCCAGATCACAATCACAAGGAAGGGGAACATGGTAGGGAACTACTCTCTCAGCTTCCCCATTAGGCTCTGGCCTCTGTCAAGCTAAGGGGAGATGGGCCTGAGGGGGAGCTCAGCAAAGTTTTTTTCTTACCCTCTAAAGCACTGGTTCTCAACCACCAACTTTCTTACAATGTCAGACAAAATGTTGGGCCAGTTAGGGCTGCAGGAACAATGCTTGCTCATTCTTCCCAAAGTCCTGGTCAGCTGCTCTGTGCAGGCTATTCTGCCTGCTTCACAGCAGAGAGCAGAATACTGTGTTCCCATTGGGTATAGCCTCCCTGCAGGAGAGAAGAACAAAGCCAACCTGTGCAGATATGCTAGGGGCGTGAGGGGAACCTCTCCTATACACCCTGTCCCCTCTCTAAACTGCTTTTTCTGAGCAGGAGAAATCAGCATGGTAAAAACATCAGAGCGAGAAGAAGCAGTATTATGAATGAGTGAGCTGCAGAGAATTCAGGTAATGATTACAGCCATTCAGTGAAATACAACAAGCTATTGGCCTTCACTCTGTGAGGGAAAGAATAAAGGCAGAGAAAAATGCTCAGGCTGCTGACTAGTGGTCATAAAAGCACACGTGGAGGCTGCTAATGGATAAGTATTGGAGAGATGATTGTGGGGAGATTCTGATGGATAAACATAAGGAGGATTAACTTTCAGGGGGCAGATGAATATAAGGGGTTATAAACTGGGGGGGAGCCTGCTAATGGATGAATATGAGGAGAACTGGTGGAGCTGCACATCAGAGAGTGTCTTTCTGCAACAGTAACTAAACATATTTTTAACTTATTGCTCCCTTTTTAATACATTTTAAATACATATTTCACATTTTATTGTAGGAGTTGCAGTAGAGGCTTAAGCATTTGACAGTTGAATGACAGGGGCATCCTAATCTTTACTTGATAAGAAGTGGAGTCCCTGTGTACATCCTGGCCTTAGAGTCCAAAGGGGGTTCGACAGCAACACAAGGTTTGACCCACAGACTAGAAGACTAAGAAGTTGCATGCACTACAGCAGTGTTGTTACCTCAAGCACGTTTTAGGCCAAGTTGGTTTCACATTAGTTTTTAACTGCAGCCAACGGGAGCCAAAGTGGGTTACTCAATGTAAGTCTGCCTAAGCTGCACACACATTTAGC